CCCCCCTCAGTTTTATAACAGGGTGGTGGCACCATCAGTGTCTCTGCTTTTTCCCCCATTCTAATGCACATTAGGGATACAGGAGTTAAAAAGTAGCTACTCCCTCGCTACAATAATGAGCAGAAAGATGCATCTGCCACCAGAAAACTGAAAGGGTCGTGAACCTCTCGTGTGTCAGTGTAACAGCGTGATTGGCTCATTTGTTTCCTGTTTCTGTTGTTGATTTGCTCTTTGGGAGCATTTCAGAATTCTCCCATAAATCCCATAAATATAATGTCTCTGATGCCATTCCCCTTCCAGTCCTCATAATACAAATAATTAAATTAGTTCATGGTTTAGTGAGGCTCGGTCACGAAATTAGTGTAAATAGGGTTAAGTTTAGGTCTGACGTGATGGAAACAAAACAGCGTTTGTGTCTGTGTGTGCTTGTACATGTGTGATGCACTGAGTCTCTCTGCCACAGTTGGTTGTGTTGATCTGATAGGAGGTGGTGAGATTCAACTGTGGTGATTTAGCCGTCATGTCAGCGGAATATTGATGCCTGCAGAGCTCAAATGGGGAAATTATAAAGCACAGAGCCAGGAAATGCATCTTAATTGCTGTTTAAGTAGGCGTCTTCATCAGAAAGAGGGAGAGATTGTGGGCCACGTCCCCATACGACTCAGAGAAAACAGATAGGTGGGTTAACACTCCTCTGCAGCACTCTATAGAAAAGAGACAAATGAGCTCATAAAGAAGCACTCTGATAGAGGACTGCTCTGTGAATAGAGGGGAGCTTCAGACACTGTAACTACAGGAGTTGTGTCTATTTATGAGACCTGGTTGGGCACTGCCTTCTCATTACGCGAGAAAGTCCTGTTATGTTTTTTTCTCATGTGATTTCCAAGGTAGTTTGGTGATAGTATGTCTTTTTTATTTCATTAACGCTCCAACACACGTTAGAAATTAGCAGAATGAAATTGGTCAAGTGTAGAAAAAATGGAAAAGAATTAGAAATATAACGATTCTGATGAGTTTGAGGTTAATTTAGAAACAATAGGTGTGTTGTTTTTGATATTATGCACATTGATGTTATTTTGCCTGTTAGAATTACTAATTTTTTTCACGTCTTCATGTGTTTGTGTGATTTGTGCATTCCTGCAAAAGGCTACCATGGCAGACTGCAGGCTCAGACCAGAAGCTTTTAGACTCTGCTTCGATTATTTCTCAGTATGATTATGTTGGTGTTGAGTGGTCAGAGTTGACACAAATGCACTAAACTGTTGGTACACCCAGTCTGACCCTGCTAAAACGCCGCTGGTCACTGTGGTGACGATAAAGCACTGTTATAATTGGTTTATTGCTTTGTTCTTCTTGTCAGTGTGGAGGGGAAAGGTTCAGGTTACCGTCACTGTGCCATAGAGCGATAAAGCCTACTTTGATTGCTGCGGGCACCGTCAAGGAATGAATGCTCAGGATTAATTCTCCTGAATCTGCTGAAAAGAGTTAAAAAAATTTACTAGAATGTAGTTTTGCTGAAACGTGTTTTGACTGCTCAGAAGGTTCTTCAAGGTGTGTTTTTTTTCTTTTCTTTCTCTATTGTGATTTTGGAACATGTTTTGTTGTATCACTGCGTGTGTGTGTGTGTGTGTGTGTGTGTGTGCGTGTGTGTGTGTGTGTGTGTGTGTG